AATGGCCACCACCCATTTGAATACAAAGTTGGGCACGTCTAACAAAACTCTCTCTCGATTGTTGAATCATTTCAGGCGTGACAATTGCAAACGCTTCATGAATACGATCATTCAGTTCTTGCAGAGTATTTATGGGTATGGAATACACATATTCCTTTATTGTTCCCCATAGGAAGAAATCGAGCGGCGTTAGATCTGGCGATCTAGCTGGCCACGCTCGAGGACCTCCGCGACCAATCCACATATTAGGATATTTCCTATTCAAAATTTCTCGTGTGCATCTTGCATTGTGCGGAGGTGCTCCGTCCTGCTGGAACCACATAACTTGTCGCCCCTCCAATGATACATCCTCTAATAATTCTGGTAATTCTTCTGAGAGAAAATGACTATAAATTGCGCCGTCAACTCTCGCAGGAAGTTGGAATGGTCCGATCTGCATACATACATACGTATTATGTTGTTACTCCAATCTTTTTAACATACTAGTTACTAATTTTTCTGCTACTATCTTAAATTATGTAACGTTAGAGATGAACGATACGAGATGTGGAAAGTTAAATGCGACATAAGTATAAAATAGCAACATTTAGAAATGGTTAACTTAATTTTTTAGACAAACATAACATTATCTACATACATATGTATAAATAATTTCGCTCGGATGTTAAAGTAACAACAATAAATGATTTAAATTTATAAAATTAACAACCCTAAATGTCAATACATTCAATATTTAAGCTTTGAAATAAAATGATAATTTAATACATATGTATACCTCTGAACTGCATTTTAGTTTACAAATAAACTGTATCGACTTTTATGAAATTAAAATTGTAATTGATGATTTGGAAGATCAATTTTAATTCGAACTCAATTTTAAAATAAAAGAACGATGTATTCAAATATCTTTGAAAATAAAAAATTGTATAAAAATTCTACTCATTAAGAGCAAGTATGTAAATGTGCATTGCTACATTATTTTAAAGGCGTTAGAATGTTCGAAATATGTATGTATTTTATTGCGTATCCAATGCTTTAATTTCTAATATTTATAACAAAGTAATGAAGTAAAAGATTCTACTTAGATCCTACATGCCAATTTATGTGATATTCACAAACTTCCTGGCTTGGGAAATTCACATACTAAAATCTTATTTTTTAAAAATCGTCCGCCATATTGGAGTCGCCATTTTGAATTTTCAAAATCCGATAGCAGATTCGTAATCAACGACCCCAAAAACCCCCCGAGTAACGATTTTCAGGAAATTGCATTTAATTTCTCAAAAATCGTCCGCCATATTGGATCCGCCATTTTGAATTTTCAAAATCTGATATCAGATTCGTAATCAGCGACCCCAAAAACCTATGAATATTGTTGTCGCATAGAAAAAATGAAAGTAAAATTGTGAAAATCGAGATTTTGTTTATATATTTTTTCAGTAATATCATATTTTTCCACTTACTCTAAACATTTTGAGGTTCTATTTGTTACGTGTCCTTAGGTAGCAGTTGTATATCAAAACACTAAGTATTACGAGTATTTAAAAAAAAAAAATTTTAATCGATAGTGAATTGCACGTACCGGAGGAACTTGAACGAGACCACTGCCTTGAGCTCCACTGTGCGGCGGTGTGCAACGCGGCGGAACGCGGGTATACGCCAGCAAGCGTAGTTTCGCGGCGCGATGCGTAATTCGTAAATATTATTCGGAAAGGAAGCGGAGTTGGTACTTGACGGCCGGGAGCGCCCGACAAAGGCAGGGTACACCCTACCCCTCAGGTTTGTCGGACGAGCGAGTCTCTGGAGCGGTATCGTGAGCTTAGGATCTGGTGAGCGGATCGGATATAAAAATTTCGGGATGCGGAAAAGAAGGTACGGAAGGTGGGAGTGATTACTAATAACGGCTCGTTCGGCGGCCGGGAGCGCCCGGCAGAGGCAGGGTACACCCTACCCCTCAGGTTCGTCGGACGAGCGAGTCTCTGGAGCGGTATCGTGAGCTTAGGATCTGGTGAGCGGATCGGATATATCGGGAAAACGGCGGAGACAAAAATGCCACGCGCGGCTCGTCATCGCGGTATCTTATACTAGACCGCCAGTTTCGCTCGCAATACTTCGGTCGGTCGCGGTATTTTCCTCCGATCGGCTTCTCATGGGAGAAGATTTCCGATCGGCTGTCCCCGACGACGGTCGGTACTTTTCGGCGAGACTGGCGGTTCTAACGGCAGCTGCTGTCCCTGCGAATTAACTTTAATGTATGAATAGGCGCCTTGCCTATACTCCCGTTGGCACCACGCGGGAACGATGCATTTTAGGGGGGCATCGTTACAAAGTCATTAACAATTAAAGTTTAGAGAGGGATCGATTGCAGAAGATAGATTCAAATCATAATTTCTGTGCTAAAAATACCGCCAATCGATAGGATTTTGTTTGCACATTCAAAAACACATCGATTTTTCGTTTGCACACGGGTCCCATTTTCAGCAGGAACAAAAAGGATCAAAGAGTGGTTTGAACGGGAGCACTCGAACTCCTGAAAGGGGCAGAGGGCTGTAAACGAGCCAAACAACTCATAAAACTTCCAAAACCAGCAAGAACTAGAGAATTGCTGGCAATGGGAAAAGTAAAACTGAGGAGCGGCATTGGCCTCCTGACAGGACACTTGCCCCTCAGAGCTCATTTATTCAACCTAGGACTAGCGGAGCAGAAAGAATGCCGGCTATGTGGAGAAGAAGGCGAGGACAACCTGCACTTACTGTGCCGATGACCTGCACTCGTCTGTAAAAGATACAGATCCAGGGGACATATGTTTATGACACCCAAGGATCTAGAAAATGCGAAGGTCAGCATTTTAATAAGTCTGGTAAGTGACATGAGGCTGGACTTGACTGAATGACCTACGGAACAAGCAGGGAGCGACATGGAACTTTATGAATCTAAGTCGCGGTAGTAGGATAGTTAAACCCACCTGCATTTACTTACTACTACTACTACTAGTAACATCTTACGATTAAACGTCCTACATTTGGGGGCTCGTCCGGGATACGAAGAGAAAAGTCTTGAGAGTGATATTCGAGATGACGGACCAAGGTGATCAAGGCAGCGTCTCGGCAACGAGTAGTGACAGGTACGAGGATATGACCGTTGCGCAGTTGAAAGACGAGCTGAAAAGACGTAAGCTAAAAGGAACCGGCAATAAGTTAGAGCTGGTAAGATTGAAGCGAAGCGACAAAAACGGCGACAACGACGAGAGCGACGTACATAGCGACGAGAGTTGTAACGACGCAAACGAGACGATAATGACCGCCATTGCAAGAGACGAAAACGAAGACGAAGATAGACCGTCAGAACGAGGAAGGTACATGTTAACCTTTAAAGACGTTGAAGACGCTATCGATAAATTTAACGGTGACGACAGAAAAAACATAAACCAGTGGATAAGAGAATTCGACGATTTGACGAAGCTTTGCGGATGGTCGGTGGTGCATCAGACGATATACGCAAGACGACTATTGACTGGCGCGTCTGTTCGTGAACCATGAAGTACGCGGGAAAACATGGAAGGACATCAGAGCCGCGTTAAGATCGAAATTTTCTCCCAAGGTAGATAGTCACGCGATCCACATGAAACTACAAAGAAGAAAGAAGAGGTCGGACGAGACGTATCATCAGTATTGTTATAAGATGTTAGACATTGCGTCGCCGATAGGTATGTAAATTTCCGCGGTCATACAATATATAATAGATGGCATTGTCGACGATGAGGTAAATAAAACAATTTTGTATGGTGCTAAAACGATATCTCAATTAAAGGCGAATTTAGATACATATGAGTTAATGAAAGCTAGAAATAGGAACGCAGGTAAGGTTAGGTCAGACGATCCTAAGAAGAAGCAGGCTAGTAAGACGGATGAAAAAACGGAAGTTAAGCGTTGTTTTAATTGCGGCGGAAAAACCACCTCAGTGCAGCGTGCCCATCGAAAGAAAAATGCATTGTGTTACGCCCGTGTCGAATGTCCGCGCCTTTTCAAGCCACGAAAGTTGGCTCCGTATAGCCGAGTAAAGCGAGCGCGTTCCCCTGGAGACGCGCGTTGTTATGTTCTGTTGTTTTATGAACTTCGTCTGGTTCTGTCTTGACAGACAGACGTGTTCTCGTTTCGTGCCTGTATCTCTGAGATAATAAACGGTGTTGCTTCTTTCTCAAACGCGTGTTATTCATGAGCGATCGGAGCGAAAGTCACTCGCGCGGTGACTTGTGAGTGCGAAAGTGCGCCGCGAGTGCTACAATTTGGCTGCCCTTCCTCTCGTAGATTGTCGTCTCGACAATCAAAGTTCTCTGTAGTAAGAAGCGCACTGGACTCTTTCTTTTATTGAAAACCTCGGGCTCCCCTCCAGTTTCCTGTTCCCTTCTGTACTGCTGCCACAGTTTTCTTAGGACTCTGGTTCCTCTGGGACCCGCTCTCTCATAACCGAGGCTTCTCGAGTCTCCTTCCCTTCTGAGCAGGATCCTTCTTCAGTTCCCCCCCTCGGAGGGTAGCTAAGCCTCCGGAGGAACACATCCAGAGGATCCCCTCATCTTCATGAAGGGAGCACTAGGATCCTCTTGCCTCTTCTCTTGAATTTTGCGGTCTTGTTTCTTCGTTTTTCGGACAGGGGGAGGGAAGAATTTTATCCTGCCGCGGTACCTCTATCCCCAGTCCCCGCCTCGGCATTCACCCATCGTCCAACGGAAAAACCACGGCTCAAAAAACCGTGGGCGAGGCGGTCTTCTTAACAAAAAAACGAAATATTCCTCCGAAATGACTGTCTCCTCCGCCTCTTTCAAAGAATCAGCGCCACCGATAGTTGTCCACGAAAATTGTCTGCCCTGGGACGTTGGCGTTTCCTGAAACTCAACAAAAATAATTACGCGAAGCTTATGTTACTAAACTAGGACCATTTAAGTCCTATTACGTTATTTTAGTCAAAGACACTAAGGCTCCGAGATTTTCAACAAATCTAAACTACATTAAATGTCTCTCCAAATAAGGTGCCAGTCTATCAGTATGTACAATTTTATTTTTACGTTGGTTCGACTTGCGAATACAATACACATCACCGAGTTTCTTAACAACATGATAAGGGCCCTCCCAATTACATTGTAATTTAGGAGCTTTCCTTTTCGTTCTACGAGGATTATAAAACCAAACTTGCTGTCCCTCTTCAAAATGGATCTGCCTAGCTTTTTGATCATACCAGGTCTTAGTTAAAGAAGATTTAATGTCCACCTTCTTCCTCACTCCCTCGTGTAAGTCCTCCAGTTTCTTTTTAACTTTACCTAAATAGCCCACAAAAGAATTCTCTTCCGGGACCTTAGGTGGATTTCCGCGTAATAAATCTATCGGCAACCTAAGATCTTGAGTAAGATAAAGTTCCGTCGGAGTTAGTCCGGTCGCCTCGTGCTTAGAAGTTCTATATGCCAACAGGAAAAGTGGGATCCACCAACCCCAGTCTTTTTGATTTTCAGAGACAAATTTCGCCAAATAGTCTAGAATCGTTCGATGTTGACATTCTATCTGTCCATCCGATTGTGGATGAAGAGTAGTTGTTCTTGTTTTCTTGATTCCTAACATGTTTGAAAGTTCACGGAAAATCTTCGATTCGAAGTTCCTCCCTTGATCGGTGTGAACCTCTAAAGGATCTCCGTGCCTAGAAATGATCTGACTAAAAAACGTTTCCGCAACGGTTTTAGACCTAGATTCTTTAAAGGAAAAGCTTCCACCCATTTAGTGAAGCAATCAACAACAACTAATAAATACCTGTTTCCGGAAGAAGACACAGGTAATGGTCCGAGAATATCCATTTGAACCCTTTCGAATGGAGCGCCGACGTTATATACTTGTAAAGGAGATCTTCCTTTTCCAGACGGGCCTTTTCTTGCTATGCAAGTTTTGCAAGTTCTACACCATTCCTCGACGTCTTGCTTACACGTCGCCCAGTAAAATCGTTTTCAAACTTTGTCCAAAGTTTTGTTGATGCCAAAATGTCCTCCAGTAGGAGAATTATGTGCCTCCTCTAACATTTGTTTAACATGTCCTCTAGGAACAATCAACTGAAAAACAGTTCTCCTCAGGTTAGGAGCTTCCCATCGCCTAAAAAGGACATCATCTCTCTTGCTATAAGTGAATCCCAATAAGACCAATAAACTTTAGATCAGTGCTCGGAATTAGTTGCACATTTCGGGCCGATTTTGGAGGCGACGCCTACTGTCTCCCCACTACCACTCGAGCCTTGGCGGCCGAGCCGCCGACCGCTCACGTGACGCTGTGCCTCAGGAGCGTCGCGATACTTTCCAGCATGCTGGGAGTATACCTTCCGACAAATATGATTAAAATAATTTTTTTTTACGTGATTTTTATTTGAACAAATTTTTTTTATTATTAGCATATTATGTATATATTCTATAATAATATAATTTACAATTATTACAGTATGATAATTATAATATTGAACAACAGTTTTCCACATCACCTCTGAGGTACTATTGTTGACGCGTTTTTTTTTAAGTGGTTTCCCCAGTAGGCCTATTCCACTAAGAAAATAACGAAAAAGATGATTAAATCTATAGCTCGAGGAAAGCAATATTCTTTAATATTAAATATTTATAAAAACGAACGAGGATGAAACGGGAATAATTATTTTCCTTCAAATTTTAAATATTTGACTTTCTGGGTCGTTTGCACGATTGTACTAGTGACGATACATCCACAGAGAGTTTAGAAGTAGTAGTTCGCATTATCGAGGATAACGATGCATCATTTAAACATGAACGTTTTTCCGTTTTGATAAACTTCATTTTAGAAAAAGAGCATTCACATAAATATGTGGACCCAAACATAAAGAAGATTCGAAGACCAAAATTTCTGAGACGTGGATAAAGTGATGCATCTAAAATTTTGAAGAACTCAATCCCCTTTTCTAGCCGTGTTTTCAAAGAAAAATCACACTGTAAATCGCAAAATTCTGCTTGAAATTCTAAGATTTGTTTCTCGATTTGTACAGTGAGAAGATTTTCAAAAAGTGTCAAGTCTTGCCTTAACGTTTCGAAATCACTGAAACGCGTATCAAATTGGGTAAATGTTTCGATTAGGGGACCCCCCTCCAATGACTTTGACATATGTTGTCAAGGTCATGACCCTGAGTAACCTCCAACAGGTTTTAGCCGTCGCTCGTCCTTCGTTAAAAATTTGATAAAAGTACCAATTAGGGGACTCCCCCCAATGACCTTAATCTTGACATATGTTGTCAAGGTCATGACCCTGAGTAACTTCCAACAGGTTTTAGCCGTCGCTCGTCCTTCGTTAAAAAGTTATTAACAATCATACTTTTAAAATTAAGGTATAATATATAATACATGTACGATATTAAGTACTATTCTACACCTTTCCCTGTTCAGAAACGTTAAACTTTCCACGCGAAGTTACTTTAACCCCCACCCCCTCCCCCCTGCACAGGGGCACAGGACTTCTACGATTATACTATTGCTATGATAGTACTGTCGGGGCAGACCTCTGTGACGGTGTGGGTGCGGGGGGGTGGCCGAAGGCCACCTCCTTGCACCCGCCCGTGTGTGTGTGTGTGTGTGTGTGTATTCCATTCGTTATATAATGATTATGAGTCTATTACTCGATATTTTACACACACACACACACACACACACACACACACACGGGCGGGTG